GAAACCATCAATGCTGAATCATACTGTAACCAAATTAATACCATGCATCAGAAATTGGCAGTAATGAAGCCCTCTTTGGTCAATCGGAAAGGGCCCATTTTGTTGCATGACAACGCTCGACCACATGTGTCACGTGTAACGTCACAAAAATTATTGGAGCTTGGCTATGAAACTTTGCCTCACCCACCCTATTCTCCGGTCCTCTCGCCTACTGACTACCATTTTTTTAGACACCTGGACCACTACTTACAACACATAATATTCAAAAATCAAACGGAACTGGAAAATGCATTTATTGACTTTATCAATTCTAAAAATTCTGAATTCTACTCAGACGGAATTAATAAGTTACCAACACGTTGGGAGAAATGTATTGAGAGTATGGGAAATTATTTTGATTAAAGAACATTGCTTTAAAGTAACTAGTTTCTTTTTTTTTGTTTAATACCAAAATCCTGCATTATTTTCCGGACAACCCAATAATTCCAATATATAAGCGGGGACATACCCGATGCAGCACCATGCGACGCGACACGATTCTACCTGACGCAAATCCAATGCCCAATTTTCCATAAGAATGTATTACCCCCGTGCACATCTGCCCGATGCTATGAAACGCTAACCCACTCTACGCTCTGCGATCCCCACTGACCAGATTTTCGTCGGGTAGCATCGAGTACAGTCGAAGATAAAAGAACAGGTCACTCATATTTTTATTCAACCTACATGTATTATTGTCGTTATTACTTACAACATACTTATTTAATATAACCCAGATCAAAAATTCATTAGTTTTTATTTTTTCAAAATTAATTTTAATGGTTTGGTAGAAAATTGATCAAAACACCGGAATACCATTTTTTAGTATAATGAATTTAACTAACAATTTATTAAAGGTTTTACTCATAAAATTTAACTAACAATTTATTTCATGGTTTTGTTCATAAAATTACACCATTTTCGTCGAGTAGCGTCAGAACAGGACATTCATATTTTTTTGTAGTTTATTTCAAACTAAGTATATCTAATTTTGTCGTTATATTAATTACAACATCCCTATTTTAATGTAAACCAAATTATACGATATCAAAAATTCATAAGTTTTTATAAAAATTATTTAATTATGATGGTTAGGAAGAAAATTGATCAAAAACACCGGAAATAACTTTATTTAAAACAATTAAGTTTAACAAACAATTTATTACATGGTTGTGCTCATAAAATTTAATTAACAATTTATAAGATGGTTTTGCACAAAATAATGCATTTAAAACAAAAGAGGTGTTGCGATTGCGATACTGATTTGTGATATCACGTTGTGTGACTGTACGTGGCATCCTCTTGACGTCGCATAGTTGTGCACACCCTACCAAAACGTGACAAGGCGTCGGGTAGCGTCGCATAGCGTTGCATCGGGTAAGTGTGTTGCCCCCTTTAATGTTCGGGCTGTAGATTTTGTTTCACTATCTAATCACAAATTCACTATTTTTAAAGCATTAAGTTTCAACACTGTAACACCTTCTTTAGCAATCGTGATTAATGTGCATTAAAGACGCATAAAAGCTATCAATATGTCAATAATTATAAAAGAGTAAAAATAAGTAAAAATTTTAAGATTATACAACTAACTCAATAAGTTAATCAATAACTACTAAAATATATTAATTAATAAACAAGGAATGACATCAGTAGATTACATATATCGCCCTAATTGTAAAACAATTAAACCATAATAATTAATTTAATGAATAAATTAATGTTTGACTAAATAAATAATTCAACAGGTAATAATAAGTAGTTAAATAAGTGACTACAACAAAAATAGAAGTTAAGCACAAATTGAAATAGGAGGGCTTTCAAGTAATTAATATAAATTTAATTTATTTGTGCTTCCAATATCTTAGTGGGTTGTAGTTACCATAAAGAGCACAATTTAATTCTCACTGTAGAATTTTTCCGAAAAAAATTCTGTACTTTTTTATAACTTCCCCCTGAGTCATGGGGATGAGGTGTCGTGCCTCAGATATTTAATTTGTGTTACTTGAAGGCTCTTAATACTTTTGTCACTAGTGTAGCTGCAAGCGTACAGCATTGGCTTCACTATTGCTTTGTCAATTGTTATTTTATTCACTTTGCACATAGATGAGTCCTGATTTAGTAGGGGAGAAGAGAGTTTATGGCTGTTTTGCCTCTCTTTACTAAAGTACAGGTTTTTTTGGATATATTTTACACATGGAAACAATAGGATGTTTACCTCAGCAAACGTGATTTGTTTGTCAAGAGAGGGACATCGGGTGATATAGAAAATCGTATATATTCATCTAGCATTAAGTTGTATTTTCTATTCAATTAATTAATGTTTTGGTTGAGATAAAAAAGTCAGTGTCACAAGCGGGATTCGAACCCACGACTTCGGCTAAATTTATTTTATTTATTTATTTTATATCTTAGAATGATTTTTTTGTACCAATTCAATTGTTGCAATAGCGTTTAGTCTCAAGTAGGAACGATATATTGTTGCGATCTCCGCCTAAAAGGCAAAATTACAGTTTATAATATTTAGCTGAGAAAGGGGAAATACTCTGAGAATAGATTTGGCCCTAGAATGCACCTCCCAGGTACCGCTGTAACAATTTTGAAAAAAAGGTGTAGCTTGGTTGAGAGAGACATGAAATGATCTGCAGCTAAGATAATAAATTATAATTCTGGTTAAATATTACGGAAATTGATTACTATCCCTTTGCGCCAGAAAGTATCAAAACTCTTTTTAAAAAATCAATTTAAACATTTTCCAGATAATGGGGTATTAACGCGAGAATAGCATGGTATTGTAAACAGTTGTTGGGAAGGTGAAAGACACTATGAAAAAGAAACAAAAATACAATTTTAACCTGTGTATGTCTATTAGTTATTAAATGTCTCCAGTTTTAATATAAAATAATTAAATATTGTTACATTACTGACGGTTCCTAGTCAAAAAATAAATTTGTACAACTCAAAGGTCAACAATGTACCAGCAAAACAAATATAGCATTTTTCAGTAACTTTGAAACTTTTTTTCAATCAAATGAAACTTTTTTTCAATCAAATGAAACCTTTTTTTCAAGCAAATGAAATGTTTTTCCAAGCAAATGAAACTTTTTTTCAATCAAATGACATCTTTTTCAAAGCAAATAAAACCTTTTTTCAAGTAAATGAAACCTTACTTCAAGAAAATGAAATCCAAACCTTAGGGTGTTTTATAAAAAGGCACAAGTAATTCAAATGTTAGTAATTTATGCATAAATTTTTATTACCTCAAAAATGTATTTAAAGTTTTGTAATTCAAATTCAACAAATTCAATATAGGAAGATTATATACAAAGGAAGATAATATGAAAAAGAAAAAGAAAAAAACCGCCACTACGTAAGAAGTAATAACCGAACAAATTACACACACAGTCCACTAGACAATGATCTTTGATGCACATTATAAAAATTATAAACTGAATTTCTAAGAGATATGCCAAGATTTGAACTCAAAACAGCTAGCTAAATACCACTCGGCCATCGAGGACTCCACCAACTCAAACTTCATTTATATTTTACCTAAACTTCGTTTATGAATTAATAACATTTTAAAAACAGCGGAATCTATAAAAAAAGAACTTCTTTAAAGGTAAAAGAGAACATCTTGTTTGATTATCCATTAGTCCATAGATGAAAAGTTTAAATTTAAATAATTAAAAAAAGCATTAACATTGTAGTAGTCATTGTGATTTTAAGGTTTATTCGTCACTCATCAGATAAGGATTGTTGCCAGTGACGTAATTAAAAATGTAATACAACGGTACTCGTTTGATAAATGGATAAATAAATAAATTTCCTATTAGAACCACGTCAAATAAAGCCTGAGTTCTTATTGTTCTCGGCGGGGCAAAACATTTTGACATAGTTCATTAGGCGTATTTCATTTTCTCCGCACGTGGGGCTTATGGAAGTCCGACCCTTTCAACCCATTAACTACGTGGAAGGGCTCTCCCCCAATGCGAAAGAAGGGATGTGGTAATAAAGTAAAGAGATTACCGCCCTCCAAGAAACTAGGAGGGAGAATTTATTCTACAATTTATTTATCCAAAGACTGTTCTGATGGGTGTGGAATACGAATCGCAGTATTTATACGTCTCATGAATTGATATTGATGAATTTGCAAAAGATAAAGAGGATATGGGAACATTTGCATATTTCAGCAAGAAACAAAATATCTATCATAAATTTTCGTTTAATATTAATTATTATAAATGATGAATTATTTTATAAAATAATACTGATGAATTTGGGAAAGATAAAATCAATATTATGGGTACATTTCCATATTTCATGTGAAGAAAACATCAGACAAACCAAAATAGCAAGGATATGCACACAAAAAGATCCGAAACAACTAAATTACCTTGTAAAATGTGAGAATTTCTCCTGTGGTCTGCAAGGTAATAAACCTATAGTTTTATAGTTACCTATCAACTTGATTTGCCTATCCTCATTGATTTTTGTTAATTCAAATCAATCAGGAAGGATGGGCACACCACGACGACAGGTAACTATCAAATAATACCTTAATGTTGATCTGATCGACAGTGATCAATTTACTGTGTTCGTTTCGATGAGTTCAACATGTTATTCACTCGTAGAGCAGTCTTAAAAGTAATTAAATCATGTTTACTGGTCTAATTGACCAAATTTCTTCTTTCAATTAATTATTCTTTTTATGTAAGGTCTTTGTTGAAATGAAAAAGTTAGTACTTAACATTAATACTTAACTAAACAGGAAAAATATTGTTTAGTTGAGAACCGAGTTGCTTTGTTACAATTTTCAGAAAACCTAAGTCAAAAAATGACACTTGTGTAAGAATTGCTGTATAATTTAGCATTTTCATTTCAGTAATTTTTACTGTAAAATATTTCAATGTTGTAGAAGTTTACAGAGAGCGAGGCTAAAAATACAGCTTATGTTGTTGCAGGATTCATTCAGGAGGTTGTCAGCGATTCATTTTTATTGTAAGTGATTGCAAGTAGTGAGTACTTATCAGAAGATTAGTTAAGAGGGTGGAACAAAGCGTGCTGTTGGGGTAAGCATGATAACAGTAGATTTCGTTTCCCCCTGGAAGGGAGGCGAACCTGTTAACAACGATGGAGGGAGTGTTTTCCAGCTGGTAATTTGGCCCCTCACAACAGCTTGCCCTCGACAATAAATTTCTGCTTGATACTAATTGGAGCCTTGATTTCAATGGATCTGCGTCGAACATGTAGGGTAAATAAACGGATTCACGGGCGATTTGTGTACGTTTAAAGCGAAAGATAAATTTCAGTGGAACCATCATGTGCCGGAAGTCATGCGGGTTTAGCCTCGTAACTTAAAAATAAAAAATATATTAATAACAATAATTAAATTATGCGCTTTTACTAATTTTGACTATTCCTTCTAACCATACATATTAAAATATATTAAGAAATTTTAAAGTAAATTTTAAAATACAAAACACTTTTGGGTGTAAGTAAACAGTCGGAACAAGAAAAGTTCACTATTTTTCATAATAGTTAACTTGGAATATTACAATCACTTTTACATTTACACCCATTCAAAGAGAAAATGAAATCTTTTGACATATCAAGTATGAGGTTGTAAAAAATTCATGGCAACATTGAAAGTCAAACCCATGTTTCTTAAAGACAGAAGTGGGGGTCAGACCGCCACGATTCCAAACAATTTAATATTTAAATTGATTTGGCATTGGGTAAATTATGGACTTATAACTGATTTTATTCTGCAGGGTGCTCACTATGATATTTAAAAAATAATTTTTGGTGATATATTGTAGTATAAATGGAGTAGAATGCCGCAAAAACGGTTTTTTTAACTCATTCCATGCAAACGATGACACACACACACACACACACACACACAAACAAACAAACAAACAAACAAACTTGCAAACAAACAAGCAAACAGATTTTCTCAGTTACCTATACATTTGTCATCAAATTGAGATCTTTTTAAAAACCTACGTAGAATTGTGTAAAGAATGAATCATTTAGTGAATTTTTATTTTTTTCTGAATAATTTCCTTTCATTCTAAACCTATCAAATGAACAACATTGAAAAAAATTTTAAAGAGAGAAACAGTGGAAATAATTGATAATGTATGTAGATACATCTTTTATAAAAACTTATCTTTGAATAATACCAGAAATTCACTAGGTGTGACAAACCTTTCCTAGAAAAAAACTATGCTTGGTAGGATCGGTACATTGTACATCGGTACATTTTGTCGAGAAGTATGATAGATAAAAAAGTGTATCAGTCCTCTCTCTCCCTCTTTCTCACTCCCACTCTCTTTCTTTCTCCCTCTCTCTCACACACTCTCTCTCTCTCTCTCACTCTCTCTCTCTCTCTCTCTCTCTCTCTCTCTCTCTCTCTCTCTCTCTCTCTCTCTCTCTCTCTCTCCATCAGTATCTGAAATTGATGTACTCTTTCAATAACTATTTTTTAGGCTAGTCCAATGATTTTGTGTAATTTTTATACATCAAGCAAATAAAAATAGATAAATTAAACAATGGGTTTAACTTGGCGTGCTTGAAAGTGATGCGAGAAGAGATTTATTATTTTATTTTGAAATATTTTATTGCATACATTTTTGAATTTTTACTTAAAAATAACATTTAGTCAAGAGTAACTCCAACTTCAACAGTACATATATTAAGAATAAAAAACATTTAGCAAGAATAATATTATTAATTGTATTTGGAGAGTATTTTTATTTATTTTTAAGGAAACTTTTTTAGCTTAATATTTTAGTTATTTTAATAATTAATTTATTAATAAGTCACCGCCTTTAGGCCAAAGAGTTTTCATCAACGTCTGATCACCTTAATTTTTTAAATGTCTTATTATATTACAATTTCCTGATAGAGTAAGAAAACTGTTTTCTACCCTCTCAAATCATTAGTGTATTATAAATTTGAATTAAAAGGATATATATGCTATATTTTTGTATAGTTTTTGAATTTACAAAGAGGAATCGTGGTGGCCGAATTAGACTATTATTTGCCAAGCTAGTGGTTCTGGGTTCAATCCCGCCATTGCCCATAGCTTTTTAATTAAAAATAATATTTAAAAAGGTATTTTAAAGTAGTTCGGCATTGCTTGTTTGTGACACGCAACGAGTAGTTGGACGTTAAGCAACAAGTACGTCAGGAATTACTTGATACTTTTAAAATAAATAATTATTTTTTCCTTTAAATTTATTACGTTTTATTGCGAGAAAATTTGGTCTTTATGAAAACCCTACACCTTGCCACGGAGCACGAGTAAAAATATTGTCGTAAAAACCTAAAGAATTTATAATAAAACCGTTGAAGTCAAAACTATGAAAACCGACCTGCCCATAAATTTACAACCCAGGATTCTGTCGTTAAGAATAGATTGTTTTATGGGAAAACCCCAGTATAATTCATTTGTCGTCAAGATTACTATCCATTCGTAACCTCAGCACTTTCGTGAATACTCTAATCTGAAAATGTATTATTTGTATTTAACAAAAATAGGAATTAATTTTAAATAATGTACTATTCTAAATACTGCCAGCTGTAGTTGTACCTTTTATATGAATTCTCTACATAGAATGGTGGGCCGCTGGATTCGAACCCGGGACTTCACCTTACGCTTTACTGCGTAGAGTAAACCTTAATTATTCAGATATCGTGAGATGCAGCCTGGTGTGATGTAGGTTTCAGAAAAACATTTTCTTTATCGTGCCAACGTTTCGATCTTGATTGAGATCATCTTCAGGCACTCTCAACACGACACGCAAGACACTTATGCAGAAAACAAACACTTTGAGCTCTGAAGATGAAAGAAATAAAGATCGAAACGTTGGCACGATAAAGAAAATGTTTTTCTGAAAACTACATCACACCAGACCGCATCTCACGATTTCCAAATAATCATCGACTAACGGTCACTAATCACCACACATATAAGACAGAAGTTATTTCACCTTATTTCTTTTTAAGGGCAATTATTATTAGTCTATGTATGTGAGAAGTTAAGAGGCCGACAAACAGCTGAGGGCTTCGCCGGCTTTATGCTTGTTTGTACTTCTTTTACTAGTCTTTCACGAAATTTCAGTCTGCAGCCATTTGAACGTCACAATCTGTTACTGTCTGGCTTTGTTGTGCTAAGTTGATATCCTAAAAAATCTCTGTTTGGTACCTCACCTTCATGTACAGACATATAACACACTCACCCCAGAGTATTCAATATTTATCCTTATTTTAGGTCAATACTTATTTCGTAAATAATACATTTCTCTATATTGTAATCAATTCGAGATAAATCAGAATTTATTGAACAAACGAGCTCATTATTGACAGTTACTATTTAGAAGGTAACCTTTTTCTGCTTGATTTCCTTTCTTACAAGTAGACACAATTAAAACATTTTTCAATTAATTAATCTTTATGAAAGGTATTGGTTGAGATAAAAAATGACAAAAAGGAGGGAAAATTCGAAAAAGGTTGGGATGGGAAGTTGGTTTCCGAGTGGATCGAAGTCACGATAGCTCAGTGGTAGAGCAGCGGCGTATTTAGCCGAAGGTCGTGGGTTTGAATCCCGCTCGTGACACTCACTTTTTCATCTCAACCAAAACCTTTCATAAAGATTAATTAATTAACTGACAAAAGTTAATTGGTCAATCCGACCACGAACTCTAATGGATTTAATAAAACACTAGAAAACACATATTTTGTATTTTTTGCTATAAAATCATTTTGTTAAATAAATATGCATAGCACGTTTTTTCTCATCGGAGTCGTGAGTATTTTTCCTTTTTGAACTCCAATTTTCCTTTATAGTGGCCAATCTCTCATTATGGTTTTCCAGGAAAATTTTCCTTTTCTCCTTTTTAATCATTTAAGGCATCACATCTGGTTCAAAACAATTCTGTTTTATAGCTAAAAATAGTAGTCATGATGAAACAAGAAAATGAAAAAGTTTCAGACTCACAGTTGCAGCTATTTTGTTCATCTGGGACAATAAATAAGAAAATGTATTTAAATTTTTTTCTCAAGGCCGATACCAGTCGTTTAAAATGCATATTGAAATTCTACGTGGTCTCTCGCATCCCAAAGGTCGCCAATAAAAATCACTTGGGGTAAATCCAAGGCTATATTGATATCTTTATAATCCGGGGCTATGTCACGTATTCAATATATCAAAACCGAGAAGCTCAGCCACCCTTCAAGGATCCCCTTCCTCAAACAAGTATTCCTATGGAAAGACTAATTGGAATCAATGCCCCCTCTGGGAAATTCCATAAATCGGATGATCGTAAAATACACTAATCCGGGTAAATGGAACTCTTTTCATCTGCGCGAGTCCGACGGGGGGCAAAGGAGACATAAATTCCTGTAAGGAAGGGGGTTATTGTATACCCGTCTCATATAAGAAACAGCTCATGCCGATTCAGAATATTTCCTTATTATCTCAACAATGTTGGTTGTATATTCATATTTATTATTATATTTGTCGCAGCCTTTGGCATATTATTAAGCAAGGGATTTTTATTGGAATCTTAGAACATACACCCACTTAATTCACTTGAATAAACCAACTAAAATAATGCACATACCATATCTTATTTTAGTTTTTGTTTGCGTAGAATATTTGGGATTTTGAAATTGTAAAAAATAATAAAATCTAGTAAAAATATCAGATCGTCATATCTCAATTATTCCCTGGTTTACATACTTCAATAACAAAGTTTGCAATATTTTATAGTTAACACGTATGATAAATTCAAATTTAAGAGCGGTTTAACATAAAAGAAAATTGTACAATAGTATTATAAATTCACAATAATGCATTAATAATATCTGGAGATCGATAAAAAGAATAATTAATTTGATTTTATTTAATATTATTATATATAGGGCGATTCATGCACTTACATCTCTCAAATGGAACAAAAAAGTTCGTATGAACCATGGGCCGAAATTCAAAGTAAAAATTATGTTTGGTGTTTTGTTAATGTTCATTAATGATTATTTGGAGATCGTGAGATGCGGTCTGGTGTGACGTAGGTTTAGAAAAACATTTTCTTTATCCTGCCAAAGTTTCGATATTTATTCAGATCATCTTCAAGGCTTGGAATTTATAAACATTGTTTAAATTATACAAATACATGTAGGATGTGAAAAAATGAATTTATACAGTGCTAGAAATTTTAGACTCAATCAAGGTATTTTTACTCACTCAAAGTGTTTATTTTCTGTGTAAAACAGTGTGAATACAAGTACTTTGATTGAGTCTAAAATTTCTAGGAAACTATAAA